TCGTTGTCGTCGTCATCATTTGCCACCCACGAAGGAGATGGACGGGATAGACGCATCTCTGCACGCGTCTGCAAGCCAGGCCACGGATGGGCTCAACACACGGGCTCGCACCGGGCAGGAGCAGGAGAGCAGGAGCAGGTGAGGGGGGAGGGGGCAGGAGGAGCAGGAGGAAACAACACGAGGGGGTGGGTCCCGAGGGAAACGGACCCAAGGCCCCGGGGTGCTTTCCCCTGGGAGCCGTTCTCCTTCGGGCCCCCACAACGGTGTGGCGGCGTGGCGACGGGCCGTGCGGTGCCCTCGGAATCCCGAAGACCCTACCGCACGGTCCGTCACTGCACGGCTTTGGGACCTTGGCGGCACAAGTTGCCCGAGACATCCTCGGAGAGCAACCAGTGGCCCCGAATCCCCACCGACTCACCACACGAAGTGGTCACTGCACCGTTTGATGCCCACGGAATCCTGGATCCTTGTTTGATGACCCTGGGGCCCTAGAAGTGCCTGGAGAGCCCGAACACGGCGAAACAACTCCATGACCCCTTCTCTCAGGAACCACTCTCCCTTGAGAGAAAGTCCAGACGAAGATACATCGGGAATCTCCGAGCGACGGCGGGTCTGGAAGATGTATCGGGCGCCGCGGCCGTTTCAGAGCGATCTGGACCGTTCTGAGAGCGCTCTGGAAATACCCGAAGCGATTCATCCTCATCCTGCAGTACAGTGAAGGCCAGTCCACGAGAAACCTTCCGCGAGAAACCCAACCCTGGAAACCCAGGACGCACATGGACTTTTGGCGTGGGAGCGTCACACTTTCCACGGCAAAGCCATCGAAACCCAAGAAAAAACCAGGGCCCCCTGGAGACAAGCAGGGTGCTCCTTGGCATGGGTCTCCACTGCAAGAACCCTTGGCGTACATGCTTCTCCCTGGGGCCGCCGGGGGATTAGAAAGATGGGTGGGGCACGCGCCAGCAGGCCGATCTCTAGTTCGACAAGCCTCCTGCAGGCCTGGCGGGTTCCCTGCGAATTATGGGAAACCCGGGATGACCACGAAAAAGGTGGTTTTTGAGGCGATTCGGGGTTCATACTTTTGGAGGCGAAAAAAATGCTGTTGAGGCGAATGATGGGAAACGGAATGACCACGAAAAAAATTGTTTTCGATGCGATTCCGGGCTTCCGAAACTTCGAATCATGGGAACCCCATCGACGGACGGCTGCCGAAGGCGAGAGGGGAGGGCGTGCCCGCGCGGGCTCCTGGCAGCTGAGCAGCGACAGGCCATCGCTGAGCGCCTGCCCTGCGGGCTCGGCTGCCGAAGGAGGCAGCGGAACCCCCTCCTGGCGGCTCCGCTGAGAGGGGAAGGCCAGGAAAGTTGAGAGAGGAGCGAGGAGGGGGGCGAGCCAGGTGCGCGCGCGCGCCATGTCTGACAGCCTACAGTACCCCTCCCACCCGTCCTGCGAACACGGCCTCCCAAGAGCCCCTGCAGAGAGCCCCTCTGAGTGCGTGAGCGTGCTTTTGCGTGCGTGTGCTTTGTAGCTGCTCTGGGTCAGACCAGTGCGCCGCCAGGGACACGGCGGGCGCTCTCGGCCGATAGCGGCAGGCAAAATATACCATCCAGCTCGACTCTGCTCGCGAACGGCATTCGCTGTGGCTTGAGCCAGACGTGCGAGTGAGGAGCAGGTGATAGAACAGGAGTTCATCACAGGGACGATGACAGAAGGCGGCGGCTTCAATGAGAAGCGTTTCAGCGGCGACGGCAACGATGATGCATCGGACTGTCGAGTGTGAGTGTGGAAGTGGTGGGCCAAGGCGGCGATTGCGGTCCAGAAGGTGAAGAACACACCCCCGGCGGCGCTCGGTCCGTGGCTGTACACACTGCTAGACGGTAAGGCGGCGCTGGCGGTCGAGAACGTGGATCTCGCGGAGATCAGCGTCGACGGCGGCGAGGGGGTGGTGTTCGCGCGCCTCGACGAGAGGTTCCCCAACAAAACTGCAGCGGATCGCCTCGGAGAGGCGATGGAGGAAGGGTTCAGCCTTCGCATTCAGAATCAGGCGACTACGGAGACCTACACAGGGCGGGCACAGCTGGTGTTCGATCGCTTGGCCAAGGACGGCGTGGATCTTCCACCGATCGCGCGGGGCTACCTGATCCTGCTTGGGCAACTTCGGCAGAGCGACGATCGTGTCAGCAACCCATCGGACTTGCACTTGGACGAGGTGTGCATGGCGATTCGGACGGCCTTTCCTGGTGTCCCCCCGGAGAGGCGCACGCGGGCGGCGTGCGCGGTGGAGGAGGAGTCGTAGACGGCGTGATCCGGCTGCCGCCCGAGCCACATCAGGATGAGGGTGCCGAAGATGACGTCACCCTGGAGATGGATACGAGCGTCCAGGTCGCAGAGCCCATCGAGGAGTCGGATGCGGTGGAGATCCTGGCGACTTGGGAGCAGATGCGAACGGCCATGAACAAGGAGCGGCTGGATCGAGGACTGCGGCCGAGAAGCCACGGCAGGTTGGCGCAGGCAGACCTAATCGGCAGGATCTCGACAACAAGCTTGGACAACGGGTGAAGTGTTGCAGGTGCAAGAAGGTCGGTCATTTCAGCAGGGACTGCAAGGAGCCACATCCAACCCACAGATCGCAGATGGTGATCGCGGAGCCCGTAGAGGTCAGTGGTGAGGAGGTGCTGGTCCAGGCAGTGCAGGAGATCGACGGGCAGGCGCAGACGAAGGGTGAGTTACGACCTGGACGTCCAGATCAGCAGCATCTTCAAGGTCCAGGAGGAAAACGTGCTGGCGAGGCTCATCCAGGAGGAGAGGTGGAAAAGGCTGGAGCACGAAATGAAGGAGAACCAGGAAGACGAGGAGAAGACGGGCGCTGCGTCCGAGGCTGAGGCCACTGACGAGGGCACGGTGCTGGGAGTGACCCACTCTGACGGGTGCTCGGTGCCATACACAGGGTGGTGCTGCAAGTCCCTGATCGGCGCGATGACCCTGATGAAGCACGAGGCAGCGACTGTTCCGAAGGCGAGGTGACTGAAAGACGTGAAGCTGATGCGGTTCCGCGGCTTCGACAAGAGAGTACAAGAGTCGGTCGGTGCGGTCGAGCTTGACTGGATGGTCAAGGGCTTCAAAGAGACGTTCGTGGCGCACGTGGTGCCGGGTTCGGCCGGCTTCCGGATGAGCAAGCCTGATCTGAAGCCTCTGGGGGCTGCGATCACCCTCGAGACGGACTCGATCTACTCGAAGCAGCTCGATCTGACCATACCGCTGAATGAGACGGCGGCAGGACACTATGAGATCGCCTGTCTTGGGGGAACGAACAATAATATAAACATAACAACTCGGAGGTCTGGACGGATTCCTTGGATCCGCGCTGGACCCCCCTCCCTGGCACGCGACGCGCGCCAGGGGGGCCCCAGCGCCGATCCGAGAAATCCGCCCGGACCTCCGAGTCATGTTTATGTCATTGTTTGTTCCCCTATTTCTGCAGGCCTGCACGTCGCCCGTGCGCGCGCAGCAGAGGATGATCAAGGATGGAGAGAGCCCGCCTTCGCCGATGCTTCTCCAGGAGGGCCGGGTCGGAGCCCACAGGCCGGGAGGATGGTGACCGAGCTGGTCTCCCCCCCGCTGATACTGCCAGTCGCGGTGAGGTCGGGACTCAGAGAAGGCGGGAGTCTCGACAGGGCGGCAGGTCTGGGACGTGAATCTTAGGTCGAGCCTGTCCCCCGACAGGGGGATTTTGGGCAAAAAATAAAAGATACCCCAAAATTACTCCAAATTGGTGTATAAAAAAAATACTCAAAAAATAATCCCCAGACTATTGTTTTTACCACTTTTGAATTTTCCCCCTGTCGAGGGACAGGCCCGACTTAACGTGAATCAGGACGACGACTGCGGCGCCGTGTGGCGGCACATCGTCGAGGTGAACCACACCTCGTGCACATGTGCCCACCATGCCGGAGGTGATCCATCGTGCAGCAGTGCATGCCGCTGGAGCGTCGGGTGAACCTGGCGCAGCATCTCGAGGAAGTGAGTTGGTCTGCGAGTCTGGTGCAGGTGGTCGTGGGGGTACTAATCTACCAGATGGAGCGGGGCAGGCCTTTCATTTAATTACCAGACTCCCCCCAGGTGTGCGAGTCTCAGGATGCCCGTGATGAGGCAGCTGCTGCAGATTTGAGATGTGCGCGTGGGCGTCGCCAGCGGCTGCGAGTTCGGCCTGAGGTGCTGGGACACTGTCAAGCTGATGTCCAAGAGCTGGGAGTTCGTGATATCCGCGCCGGAGGTGGCACGAGCGGTTCACAAGAGATGCGGCGGTGGACATGAGCATAAGCACAGAGAGTGCATGCTGCAGTGCGGGATCAAGCGCACGGTGTTCAGCCAGCGGTATACTCGGAGGCTGGTGGAGGCTACCGTGCGAGGCATGCGACGTCAGTGCAAAGTGGAGGCGTCCAGCAGTGAGGCTGGGTGTTGTGCAGGACAGGAGGAGGAGGAGGAGGAGGAGGAGGAGAAGGAGGAGGAGGAGGAGGAGGAGGAGGAGGAGGAGGGGGAGGAGGAGGAGGAGGAGGAGGAGGAGGAGGAGGAGGAGGAGGAGAGGAGGTGGAGGAGGAGGAGGAGGAGGAGGAGGCGGAGGAGGAGGAGGCGGAGGAGGAGGAGGCGGTCCATGGGCGGACGGCCACGCCCCAGAGTTCGCTGGCGCACCCAGGGGGGAAGGGAGAGGGGGCAGGCCTTCTCAGAAGGCAGCGGGCCTCGGGGATCTCCTGGCCCGGGTCAATCAAAACCCGGGTCAGTTAGGCCACGCGGGATCCTGCAAGATCGTGCAGGATCATGCAAGATCCTGCACACAAGCCAGGGTCAGTGCGCCCCTGGCTCTGCAGGATCCTGCAAGATCCGGCGCTCCGACTGATCCGTCCCTTGAGACCCGAGAGGGGCTTCTCAGAAGCCCTCCGGACTTCTGAGAGGCCGTCTGTCTTCGGGAGAGGCCGAGAGTACTTCTCAGAAGGCCGGAGGCCTTCCGAGACTCCTGAGAAGACCCGCCCTCTTTGACTTACCCCCGAGCTCGCCGCCGACCAGAGGACGGCAAAGGCAGGGGAGGGGGCTGGGCCAGCCCCCCCTTGTCACGTCACGAAGGCCACGGTGATTGCCAAGGCGCTTCGCCTCGGCGACGACGACGACTGCGACGACGACAACGACGACGACGACGACGACGACGACGGCGACGACGACGACGGCGACGACGACGACGACGCGGCCGAGGCCGAGGGCGCGGGCGGCAGCGGGCGGCTGCGGCTGGCACGGCCAGCTCACGGAAGCCAAAGCAGCTGCCGACTGGATCGTTCCATGATATATCATGGCTCTTTGGCAACAGGCCCGCACGTACACTGCCGACGGACACTATTGGCCTCAAATCCTTCTACTCATTATGCTCCTCATTTTCGTCCTCTGTTGGGTGTTCCTCACTGTTCGTCTGCTATCATACCACCCCGATCGTCCCGATCATCCTCGTATCTCTCCTACACCTGCTCCTTCTCTTGCCCCCGCTCCTACTATTGCTCGCGCCCTTGCTCCTGTGCATCCCCCATATTTATCCATCTCCCCTCCTCCACCCTTCCTATTCCCGCGTGTCCACCAGACACTCGATGTGTCCCAGTGGCCTTGTTGCGCATGTTGCAAACCTGTCGTGTATATGTATGGACGTAGGTGTGAATATGCAGACTTTCTTGTGAACATAAACACGTAGCAACAGTATGACCTGGGAAGACGCACGCCAAAGTGTCCGCTGTTGCAAAAATATGATGCGACACTACATGCACCCGCGGAATCACGTGGCTGTGGTCGATCACGAAATGCGAACACATTTCATGGAAAGCAGCGTATCCACGTCTCCTCGGTGTCCACGAAAGATGACAGCAAGGTCGTCACCTCAGCTGCAACAGAAAAAAAACGCGATCAACCACGAGAAAAATCGCATGTCAGATAAAACTCCTCCGCGCGGTAGCGAAGGGTACAAAGCGCGCGCAGCTAAGAATTCTCCGCACATTATGCTGTCCATCCATCATGTTTCGCGCCTTTGCGCGATGCCCCCTCTTACTGCGGAACGTCTGATCACACCAATGAATTTCGCCCACTGCATCCCCCCGAAGCGGAGGGACTCGGCCAGGCGGTCCCACCGCGCGCGCGTACGCGCACGCCGAAAGTGCGCGCGCGCACGCGCACACAAACAATTCACACACACACACACACACACACGCGCGCGCACGCATACGCACGCACGCACGCACGCACGCACGCACGCACGCACGCACGCACACACCCACACACACACACACACACACACACACACACGCAAACACCACACACACCACACACACACTTGTTGCGTCGGCGGCTAGGCAGAGTAACTGCGCTGGCAGAAGGTTACCTAAATGAGGATGCTGTTGTAGCGAATTGTGCCACCAGGCAGGGGGGAGGGGAAAAGCAAAGGAGGCCGCCGAAAGAGGAGGCGGAGGGAACGAGCCGCTCAGGGGGACGGGTCACGCCCAGAGCGTGTGGCGCGGCCAGCCCAGCCCGCGGGCCCGCGGCGGCTGCTGCGCCAGGGACTGGCGGCGGCGGGGCGCAGTGCGGGGGTGGGCACCACCCCAGGGGGGCAAGGGGTGCCAAACGGACAGTGTTAAAGCCTGGTGGCCAGTAAAAAGCTGCGGCGCCGGCGACGGGCGGCAAGACCAAGCCCTTTCTGGGCAGGCGCGGGACACACACACACACACACATTCACGCACACGCACACGCACACGCACACACAGATACACACATACGCACACACACACACACTTTTGTTGCGGCACGCCACGCCGATGGGTTGCAGTCGGCTGGCGAACATGCCAGCACAAAAGCTGGGTTGGGCGGAAGTGAATTGAAATCGGCCACCATGCGTAGGAGCGACACCGAAACTCTCCGTCCCCGGGGCCCCAGGTGCCCTGGGCCCAGGGCAATCAAGCCCAGGGCCGCTTGGCGCCAGCTCGCAACCTCCGAGAGGAGGCGACCAGGAGGAGAAGGAGGAGGAGGAGGAGGAGGAGGAAAAGGAAGTTCAGAAGCTGGGTAAGGCCAGAGCCACATTCGAGGAGCAGCTGCAGCAGCAGAAGGAGAATCTAAACGCCCAATATTCTGAGGCCTGGATGGGGTTGGTTCACAGGTCAGAAGAAACTCAACATCATCGCGATGCTGATGCACACGAGTCGGTTGTGGCTGTGCAAGAAACAGAGGCTAAGACTAGGGAGTTGGAAGAGCAGATCGTCGCACTACGTAAGTTAGCATCTTCGGCTGGATCGGATGTTGCTGGATATGGCCCTGCAGCTCAGCTACGCCAGCGTCGAGTACCTTATCCTTACGGCCAGTCTCCTGATCGGGCGACCGTCCAAGCTTTGATGGAGGCCAAAAAGTTGGACGACTGGAAGTGTGAGGCAGAGATAGCCAGACGTACCGAACAGGAGGAAGATGCAGCAGTTGAATATGAAGATCACCGATGGACACGATACTCCCCTTGCCCGCCACCTCCCTTTTCACCACCGTCAGGGCAGAGTTGGGCTAGTACTGGAGCGAGGAGGGTTGATGAGATGCTTGCCGAGGAGGATCGAGCGGAAGAATTGGATAGACTTGAGCGAGACCGTGACAATCGGCAGTTCCAGGAGTGGCCACTGCAACAGCGGACCATACTCCAAGCAGCAGAGCACCAAGCCGAAGGCGAAGTTTCGGATAAGCAGGCCTCTCTCCCTCCTACGAACACGAATACGAACACGATCGCGAACACCATGAACAGAGCCGATGCAATCGACACGATGCACCCCAGTTCCTTACCGACGGTGTTTGACCTGGAGGCTATTGCGGAGTTGGAACAGATCGCGGCCGAAGAAGAATTCGACTGGGACGAAGACTTGGTGGGCATCTTGGAAGAACAGGCTGCTGAAGCTGAAAGGCTTGCGGTCGAGAAAGAAGAGCGAGCTGAGGCGTTGGAGCACAGTGTGTCGCTTCTTCACGTTGAGGCTGCCGCTAGTTCGGGGTCTGGCTTAATAAGTATTCCTGAGAGCACCCCCGCTTCAACGCAGGAGCCACCCCTGGAGGCAGGCGGGGTTGAGTGTATCTCTACTGGCGCGCCTCAAGGCGAGCCCGTCTGCAGCACGACACCAGTTCATACTGACGAAGACGAAAAGACTGATAGGAGTACCAAAAGCAAGATGCCAGCCAGGAAGTATGGAAGGGCTACATTGCACGGGACAGCTCCACAGACTGAGGCCAGCACTACCAGGAGGCCCTCCTCGAGAGGGGCAGTTGCACGCACGAATGGAGAGTGGGACGATACACTTGAAGTTGTTGAATATCCGCCACAGCGCCAGGAAGGTCTTGAGGAACCGCTTGAATTACCACGGAAAGTAGCAATACCAGGTGGAGACGGTGATTTGGCAGTGGGCGTGCTTGGAACCCCAGGCAAAGGGGAAGAGCGAGGAGCTGCTGAAGTGGTTCAGCACCCCCCTTGACCTCGGACAACGAGGGGGAGCTTGTCCGGGCGGCGCCCTCACCTCTAGCACACACATACACACGCCACGCCCTTTGCCAAGCTCGCTGTCACATGCTCAGCGGGCTGAGGCTGTCTACGAAGTGGAGAGTATTTCATCGACCCTACTTGTATGTCACAGTCAAGACGAAGTTGGTACTCTGACTGGGCCTTCCTTGGCTACTTCGCGACGGGGCCTTTCCTGCCGCGCACCAGCTATCGTGCATGTTGACCCTTCTCCTGCCAAGTTGGGTCCAACTATCTTTCACCGCCGAGCGGTACTGACATACGACAATCTACACATGTCTCACCCTTAAGTGGTCAAGGTATGGGATTATGTGCGACGGACGTACCCTTACCTATCAACTTGGAGTTCCAGCTACGGCGTTGGCACGTCAACTTGCGACGGGTGGTTGGGCGCTTTCAGCTTCACGAACACATGAGGTTGGCGCTGGCAGACTGTCGCCCCTTGTCTGCACCTGTGGACAAAGTCTATATTTTCTGTGACGGCTCGTTCTGGCCAAACGACCGTCTTCTTTCGGCATGGGCCTGCACAACTGTTCATTCTAATGGGGGAGACTTCAAGTTCGAGGGCTTCTTCAGCGGCTACACCAAAGACAGCGCTGCCCAAGAGGTGGAGGAGGACATAATCAATCGTGTGACGACTGAGACGGCAGGGGTGCTATGGGCTATGGTGTATGCTTTGCAGGTTCCGTCCCAGGCTAGCGCGGGGGTCATCTGCGACTGCCAGCCAGCTTTGGGACGGGCTTCGCCAGGTTGTGCCCAGACGGAGCCTTTCGCGGTCCAGGCCGCGAACGTCTACGAGGCTCTCCCTCGGGCGCGCCCACTACGCCTCTGCCACGCGGCAGGGCATGAAAGCCATCCATGGAACGAGACGTCCGACGCTATCGCTAAGCACTCGAAACAAGAGGCTCATCCAGCGTTGCCCTTGCTTGAAGTCGAAGTCCCGCGGCCGTCCAATTGGCGGGGTTGGGCGTCGCACCGGGATCTAGGTGTTCAAGATAGCGCTGCTTTCCCACCGTTGGGATGTGATGGTTGCGTTTATCAGCCTTGCCAGCAGAATGCGCTCTACACGTTACCTCAAGAGGTGGCACGGGACCACACCCAGTAGTATAGTCTCGTGATGAAAGTGGCTACCGACAACGTGCAGAGGGCCAGTGAAGTACCGTCTTCAAGTGATTGGGTCCGCGGACAGTACCTTCGACTTCAATTTCGGAAAACAGGGCTGCATGTGGCTGGGTGCCAAGGTGCCCCACCGCCTGCTGAAGCTACGATTCGCGACGGTTTCTATATCTTGAGCTCAGGGCGAGGCCACATCCTCGGCACCACCCTGATGGTGAACAGGGACCTTCCATGTGGCTATGGACCTTCTGGGGATAATTACTTCAAGAAGAGCGACGTGAGAATCTTGCACCAGAATCCGCGGGCATTGGTGACACGCATTGTCACGTTTGGGGTTGATGAGTTTGTTTATGGTATTCATGCCCCGCATCAGAAGCACGATTCTTTGAATTACGACGAGTGGCTGAATCATTAAGAGTTTTTATTTTCAAGGTGGCCGCCTAAACTAGTATTTGGTGGTGCGAATGCAAAGATTGGAGTTAACCCTGCACCTGGCGAGGTGCACGGTTGCTGTGTCGGAAGCTACCACCCCCGTTATTGCTGCACCGATAACGACGATGGGCCTGGGACCTGGGACTTGTCTGACAAGATGCGAAAGCTCCCACGACCTCTTCATCGAAACACATGTCATGGGCACGACGGCGGCCATACGCATGTTAGTATTGCCGAGGGCATAAGCCGAATAGACTACGTGTTGACGAATCCCGAGTACCACGACGCAATCAATGCGATTTGGGTAGACTACAGTCTGGGCAGATGTCTGGATGGCGAGGGCGTAGAAGTGCTCAAGTACTTGATAGGAACAAGCTTCGGGATGCGGAACAGGTCCGCAGGTTCGAGCAGATCATTGAGGGAGCTGTGCTCCAAGATTGGACGACGGATGTGAACGATCACGTTGATGCCACCAATGCGTTGATCAGGCCGGCGGCCTCAGCATGCCTCTCCAGGGGCCGCTTGAGTTCTTTTCGAGGGCGCGTTGCCCGCGCTACTATGGAGCCTGTTCGCTTGAGGAGAGATGCGTCTCCAGAGCGCGGAGATGGCCCCCTCACCGCACCGCCCAGCGACCGCCTTGGAACGACTTGACCAACCACGCCATGGACCCAGGATTGCAAAAAAACCCATGGGTTTTTTTGCAATCCTTGGTTTTTTTTGCAATCGGGTTTTTTTGCAAAGGTTTTTTTGCAATCCTGGGTTTTTTTGCAATCCTGGGTTTTTTTGCAATCCTTATTTCAAC